TTATTACTTATGAATACACTATCTATGTAAAAACTAATTATTACTTATGTATACACTATCCTATGTAAAAACTAATTATTACTTATGTATACACTATCCTATGTAAAAACTAATTATTACTTATGAATACACTATCCTATGTAAAAACTAATTATTACTTATGTATACACTATCCTATGTAAAAACTAATTATTACTTATGTATACACTATCCTATGTAAAAACTAATTATTACTTATGAATACACTATCCTATGTAAAAACTAATTATTACTTATGAATACACTATCCTATGTAAAAACTAATTATTACTTATGTATACACTATCCTATGTAAAAACTAATTATTACTTATGAATACACTATCCTATGTAAAAACTAATTATTACTTATGAATACACTATCCTATGTAAAAACTAATTATTACTTATGTATACACTATCCTATGTAAAAACTAATTATTACTTATGTATACACTATCCTATGTAAAAACTAATTATTACTTATGTATACACTATCCTATGTAAAAACTAATTATTACTTATGTATACACTATCCTATGTAAAAACTAATTATTACTTATGTATACACTATCCTATGTAAAAACTAATTTGCTATTTGTTTGGAAATTATGGAACATTTAAGTTTGTAGTAATGAAATTTAAAGTATGAATAAGTAAGATACAATAAACATGCAGAGTGTATAGTTATCCTATTGACCAATGCATAGTGTAGATTGACGCATCCCATAATGCATAGTGTAGATTGATGCCATCCCATAATGCCTAAATGAATACATTCTTTGTTTGATTTTAGTCAAAATTTACTGAGATCATAGCAGTCCAAAATGGCAGAGAAAAATATTTTAATAGACTTGTACCTGTGTAATTGTTTGCATTAAGTGATTGTATTCTAGTGACTCACTGTACTGTTGGTGCTTCCAAGTAAACAAAAAAAGTACTACATTTAACTATGATTTATCATGCAACTATAGTTACCATGGTACTGGTATGTAATTGCAACCTTGTTCTATATGCCATGATATTGTTGAATACAACCATGATCTATATCATTTATTTCTTTAAAATTAAATATGTAATGCTAACTTTTAATTTATTTAATAGCGATTACAAATTTGCATACATTATAATGCATTAATACTATTATGCCTTGTTCAATTCATAAAAGAAAGTGTTGTCATGTAAAAAAAACACATTTTCATGTGCATATTACATTATGAAAATTTATATCTTCTAATATAATTATTATTTGTTAACATTGAACCCATCGTGCCTGCTTAGTGTTTGTTACATATTCATTTACATATCTATGGAATAACACCAATAAATGTTTGAATGAGACATGTGACACGTTGTAAACTGTTCAATATTAGGGATGACTAAAATTTCAAATTGTACAGTAACTACATTGGTTAGTGCTTTGTGTATGCATTTAATACATGATTCATACATGTATCACCTTGAGTTATAATATCAGTTTAGGGGGTGTGGCTCAATGTTTGTTTAGTTGACATACATACAGTTCATGACCAGCTTATTCTGTTCTGCATGCTGTATATACATGTACTGTAAAGATTTTAATTTTTGATATTAGCAATTTTCACAATTTAATGATTTGTTGGCATTCATAAAGACAACATTTTGCAAAACTCATTGACAGTTGTCATTTTCTTTTATATTAAAAAAAATAAATTATTTAAACAAAGCTATGTACAATTTTACCTAATTTGCATGATGAACCATACTGCAAGGTTTACCTGCCCCAACAAAGGATTATATTAACTAATTAATATTATTAATTATACTATTTGTAAAATGTACAAATCTTCAGGATGTTGTATTGAGTTGTACAATTGCTTTCATAAGATTAAGCTAGACACATTCTAATAAGTGACTAGATAATACATTCTCTTCCCATGTGGTCACATTTTTCAGTGATGACAACAAGTTTATTTTTTTCAAGTATTTGAGTTACTGTAGTGAGTCTTATTCAGTGGTAATATATCATCTAATGTTGTATTTTCATATCTTATCTCCTCCACCAAATAACTGATCTGTATTCACTTCTAACTGATCCAATTACAGTAGTTGATTCCTGGGGGTTTACTGACTCTCACAATGTAATACAAACATGTAGCTACTCCATGTCAGAGTGCAATTTAAATGTACTTTCTATTCATCAATGAATCACAGTGTTATACTTTGTTGATTGTTTCATATGTACATTCCAATATGTAGTCTATACTTACATGATTCAAACCAATTGATTTACCAAATGAAACATAAACAAATTGTAATTTGTATTTGAATGAGTCAAATAATGAGATCAAGATTAATAGCTCACAGGCGTGGGATTAAGAACTTAATATGGTTTAATGGAAATACTGATGTGTTAAAGGCATACTGTCATACAACCCTTCATACTGTGGAGGAAACATTTAACAACAATCATATGATTTTGTCAGAATGGCCTACATCCAAAGTAGCATGTAATGACTTGTTTCTATTCTATTTATGCTTTTACTCGTACAAAGTAATTTGCTTGAAATTTATATAAATACTATTTTCACTCAGAAACCTCACAAGAGTTTATTTGCTAGCAAATAGCAAGAGAATGTACGAAAGCTATTGTTCCATAAACATGACACCCTAGACTAGTTCCATAAACATGACACCCTAGACTAGTTCCATAAACATGACACCCTAGACTAGTTCCATAAACATGACACCCTAGCTATTGTTCCATAAACATGACACCCTAGACTAGTTCCATAAACATGACACCCTAGACTAGTTCCATAACTATGACACCCTAGACTAGTTCCATAAACATGACACCCTAGACTAGTTCCATAAATATGACACCCTAGACTAGTTCCATAAACATGACACCCTAGACTAGTTCCATAAACATGAAACCCTAGACTAGTTCCATAAACATGACACCCTAGACTAGTTCCATAAACATGACACCCTAGACTAGTTCCATAAACATGACACCTAGACTAGTTCCATAAACATGACACCCTAGACTAGTTCCATAAACATGACACCCTAGACTAGTTCCATAAACATGACACCCTAGACTAGTTCCATAAACATGACACCCTAGACTAGTTCCATAAACATGACACCCTAGACTAGTTCCATAAACATGACACCCTAGACTAGTTCCATAAACATGACACCCTAGACTAGTTCCATAAACATGACACCCTAGACTAGTTCCATAAACATGACACCCTAGACTAGTTCCATAAACATGACACCCTAGACTAGTTCCATAAACATGACACCCTAGACTAGTTCCATAAACATGACACCCTAGACTAGTGACTTTTGTTCATCATGGTTAGTAAGACAATCTGAAAACAAAATTTCTCTGCAGTTCAAAGTTCCTCCAACAACTACATTGTAATTACATTTATAATCTCATACATGTATCTCCTGGAAAAGATAATAATGGACTTGTATACAACAAAACAAAGAAACAAACAAATACAATGAAGGCAGTTTCTATTTTTAAAACTGTGGTATGCAAGAGTCAGTCCCATAGGTCTTTGAGTTTACAAACCTCGCTTCTAAATAAAGAACTTTGCTTTAATTTATAATGTTGATTTTCTCAGTAATTGTAGACTAAATTGTCTACTGATATTTTGCATTACATTTCATACATGAAAGATTTATTATAGTATTATATATTGTATTGTATAAATAGTCATTAATGTATTTTGTATGTAGATAATAACGTGATCTTAGTGCAGTTTGTAATAAGTTTTAAGTGTATTGTTTAGTTCATATTTCAACAATTATTGAATTCTTAACATAAACCTGTATGTGAATTCTACATGTGAATACTTCTGTAGCCGTGTTGTCCACACTCATACATGGCATACTGAATTGCAAAAAGATTAATAATACCATAAACATTATCACTGAGTTATGTTTAAAATAATTTTTTTCCCATCATTGGTAAAATTTACACAAGTTTTTATTAGTTCCCGTTCGGACGAAGTCCGAAAACGGAGACGTACATGTATGGATTGACTTTTGTGTGTCCGTCCGTGTGTGTGCACTCGGACCTGTATCTTAGACATGCCTGGACCAATTATATTCAAACTTCACACATACATAAAACATAATATTATACATACATGTAAGCACATCAATTTGTTTCATGATCTGATTCAAGATGGCCGAATGGCAGCCATTTTTGTGCTGAAAAATCATCAAAATCAAGCATTTCTTGGCTGTTTACCAATGGATTTTGTTCAAACTTATAACATAGATTAGACATTATGGGTTCCTGATGCACGTCATTTTATTTTTCAGATTGGATTCAAAATGGCCAACTGGCGATCATTTTGTTTTAATGAATGGGCTTCTAGAGCCATATCTCTGACATACTTTGACTGATTGTGTTCAATTTCATATATTTAATATATTCATTGTACATCATGTTATAGATGTATACGTATATTCAAAATGGCTGATTTTGTTTTAATGAATGCTGTTCCAAAGCAATATCTCTCAATATGGACAAGTATAGTACTTGTTTGACGATCATTTTAATTTTATACGATCATCATAATCATATTCCTGACATGGTTATATTCCAGCTATATTACTATAAACAAAACTATATATCTTAAATTTGATAACTAACTGGGACTATGCCATGCATGGCTTTTTGTTTATGTGTTTACGCTTGTTTTAACAAAATAAAGATCAAAGGTGACAGCTTCACTGCGCAGAACAGTGCACAAATTATGCTACATTAAATGGTACTGAAGACAATCTTGATCAAAAAAGTAGTATTTGTGTGAATGGTGCACTCTCATGGCACTCACAGTTATCTTATGGTAGCTTTCATTTGTGTAGTAATGTATTGGTATCTTGTATAGCATGATTAACCTATATATAGGATGGTCAAATTATATTCCAATATTTACTCTTTGTTGTTGTTTTCTATATTTTGTCCAGGCTTTTGGAAATGCAAAGACGGTGGTAAATAACAACAGTAGCAGATTTGGAAAATTTATCCAAGTAAATTACCGAGAAAATGGGACAGTTCATGGGTAAGAACATTTACGTAAATAACCTGTTACAGATGTTATCATATGCACTCGTTTGTAATCTGCACCTCATACATTCAATTTTACATACCAGTAAACTGTCACATACAGTACAATTGGGAAATGTTTGTTTTTGTGGATATTTTGTTGATTCAAATTAATGTTTAATGCATGAACCGTACTCATCGGACTAAGAGCCCACCCCCACTTTTGAGATATGTTTGTAGTCAGGTTCATGTTTGGCTAAGCACATCCCTTCCAAATGCTCCATAAAACCGGGTCTTTGAGCATTGTTTGACGTTTCCAAATTACCTGCAATCAAAATGATATAATACAGCGTGGATAACGAACACAGTTAAAATCGTTCGAATGCATAGACCACAGTAACCATTTGTAAACTAGGTTACGACAGTAACCGTTACAACCATGATTGACGGTAAATACTTCCATTTTCAGTTCACCTTACAAAAATTGCTACTTATCACTTTTTAAGAAAAAATCATGATGTTTTTTGTCAAAATCAATGCCAACAATTAGTATTTCGACATCGATATTTCACTTGCCAGAATGTCTTTGGGAATTCTCAGAGAATTGTGTTGGTACAACACTGCATTCTGATTGGTTAATAACAGACATAATCCAAAGGACATTTTTGCAGGTCAAATTGCATGAGAAAACATCATAGCAGAAATTGCTTTGCATCAATATTTTGTGTACAAATGAAAATATTCAATGAAGACGATCTGTTTTCCCACAGACCCCAATAATTTTACACCGTAAATTCCGATGGTATGTAACTAATATTGTAATGAAATATGCATATTTTTTCGTCATTGCAAAATGTGTTGTGGAAATTATTTCTATCTGGCCATAGAACAGCAAAGTAGTTCACATTACCCTGGTATATCAGTACACAATAATTTCATTTATTGTACGAAATATCTTTAAAATATGATTTATTTTGACCACAGACAGACCTTTGTCATACTTCAGTGCATATCCATATTTGTTTCATTAATAGCATATACATTTATGTAAATGACTGAGCTGTGTCTGTGACTAAATAAGTAATATCTGGTATACAAATCATTACAAATTACATGCATTTATATTAGAGATGCATTCTAATAGAGCAAATATAGCACATACTGTAATTTGGTGTCTTAATTAATTCATTCTATTCTAATAAGGTAATTATTAAATGTATGCTATGTTATATCATGACGTTCAAAAGAAGATTTTTATTTGTATTCTTTTTAATTCAAATTATTGTTATCAAGTGAATTTAAGAAAGAAAAGAAGAAGAAAACGTGTTCAAAAATAATTGACTGTTGTAGACCTTTTGAACATTGCAACGGGAGCTTGAATTATATTGTACCGGTGATGATTTCAACAAAACATGAATATTTTTTTTACTCACAACATAAGCAATATCCAGGCATGTGGCAAGGAAGAAAATGCTTTAAAACAATGCATATAGATTGTAATATTACATTTTCTTTGCCAACCTGGATAGAATAATATATAGAAGATAATATTTGGTAATCGTAGTCCTAAATAACTATTAAAAATAGCTAAGAGATAAATGGATAGAATAATAATGGATAGAATAATAAAGCATTGCTCCCAGCTTGAATGACTTCAGCGCCATATTGTTTTTGAAAGGTTGAGAGTTCATCGCTACTACATGTACATGTACCGTACTTGACCGCGTTAGCGTCCAGGGGCCTCAACTCAGAAAATCACGATTTTTTTACCCGAGCACCCCCCTCGAAAAAGAGTGCAAATGAAAATTTTGATTTATCAAGTGACAAATTACGTCTTTGAGGGAAAATCAAATTACTAAATTAGTTGCGTCGTCATTGATTTTCACAATGAAGAAACAGAAATGATCACAAAAAATACGCACATTTTATTACCTTGCCCATACCATCAAAGATGGAAGGGAAAGGTATATTAAGGGAAAAATTTTGTCTATCGTTGTTGTCATCGTCGTTGTTAATATTTGTTATTGTGTGCATAATAACTTTACTACGGTAATTCTATTCCAAGCTTCATCAAACTTGGTCACCTTATTCATCAGTATAAAG